GAAACGTCAGCCTTCCTGCTCCTCTGATGCTACTTGGCCTGCTGTGTTCATCCAGCTCTACACCTTGTTATTTAATTAGCTTGCTTGGTTCATGTCTTGGTTAACATGAAACTCAATTATCTAACAGAAATTGAACTTTTTGATGTGCTTTCTCAGCTGAAAACATGATTGCATCCTTAAATAAATTACATGGAACACTTCACATAAACAGTATTAGAAACTCAACACAGTGCAAACTATAGCCGTATACTATTGCCCTGAGGCAGCTTAATAAAAGTGGCATCATGCCAATGTTGATATTGTTATATATCTCTTCCTGTATTATTATGAAACTAATGTTCATGAATATTGAAATTTTATTTATGCATAGAGTTCCATTTACGTTTTTGTAATGGTGAGCCTGCTGTTTCTCGAATTGCTGCCAGAATAACTTCTTTGCAGCAGATGCACACAGCAAATCCTTTTCGGAACAGTTCAGTTGTTGCAGTCGGGGTAGATTAACTGATTCAGCATTGACGCTAATCTGCTGCCAATCTGTAGCCCTGCTGTACAATAATCATTTGACAACATGAGGACAATATCTCATTTGCTATCCTATTTTTCTGCCATTTATTTTCCAAAGAAATGTTCAATCACATTGCTTTTCCCACCCAATTATTTCCCACTAATACAAGACCTTCTGACAGCAGGGAGGTCCAGTAAGAGTCGTAGATGCCTCGTCTAGAATCAGGTCTTTGATCAATTGTATAAAGAACTGCAATTGAGTTTTTTTTTAAGTCCCCTTTGGGTCTTTTATTAGCGATGTCTAACTTAGGCTTTTGAATCATCCTGCACAACTCATGAAGAGATAGACTGGACACTGCTTGACCACCAGAAGCACTGAGAGAAACACCACAATCAGCTTAATTCAACTTGAAGGTTCTGAGGGCTGAAAAAGCTGCAATTTAGCTGTAATATCAACAGCTATTTGTATTTAGTTACCTTTTACATAGTAAAATAAGTGACAAGAAAATGGTTATGGGGCGCGGTATGGCAACCTCTTGGACCGGCGTGGTGGTCTCTTAGTCTGATATAGCCTCAGCGTGGTCACCCAGTCTTGAAGCGATACCACAGCAACCTCATGATTCTCAAAGTGAAGCCCAGCGCAGTCTGGAGCCAGGGCCCAGCCTGGGTTGGAAAACTGCTGTTCTGAACTTTTATTTCTGCAATGCTGGACATTTCGTTTCTCTATTTTCTAAGATCTTGTAACTAAAGAAGCTTTACCTAGGTATATTTTGTACCTACGATGGTGCTGTAAGTAGCGATGTATAAACTTTTCACTCTACTCATTTGAGTATATGTGACAATAAAGCTAATTCAATTCAATTCAAATATGTGCATGATGATCCTCCATATAATATGGCAATCTGTGACATCACGACACTGAACAAAACCTGGACTCTTCCTAAAGCTTCAAGAATTCTCTGATCTACAGTCTTCCACACTGCTTCCAATTTCAGAAATTTTGAGCAGGAACTCTTTCCGTAGATCAACTGCTAAAGATGGATTTGGATTGAGATGACACACACATTGCTCAAGGTGGACACGATAAACTATGAAGACATCCGTTTGGATAACTTGTGCTGAAAGAATAGAATCATAGGATATTTATAGCACAAAAAATTGCCCATCGTGTCTGCACCAGTCGAGAAATGAACCATCCTACCTAATTCCATTTTCCAGTGTTTAGTCCATAAATCATATGTATATCCATAAACATTTAGGAGTTTATAGTTTCTGCTTTTGGACTACTGTTAATACAGTAGTATTGAGTACCTTAACCAATTGAACAAGAAATATTACCTCATTGAAATTTTGCTTTATTTTCCTCTAACAGAGTTGGAACTTCATTGCTGAGACCTTGGTGCCGAGACCTTGTGGATAAACATCTGTTTTAGTTATTACTACTTCTATTGGTCGTAAATTACAAATTAAATGTTAGGGATTGAAATCTTCCCACCTCCATCTCTTTAATAAATTGTCCCTCACCATGCGTAAGACCAGACCAGGATTTGATATGTGAGATGGATGAAAAACATTTTTGCTTATCATGAATTTACAAAGAGCTATTATGTACAAAATTTATCCTGGTAGTCCCGGTGTTTTCACTAACAGCATGATCAAAAAGACAAATGACCTCTGGGCAGAGAGGTTAAGTCTTACAATTAGAGTCATAGAGCTGTATAGCATGGAAACAGGCCCTTTGGTTCAACTCGTCCATACTGACTAGATATCCTAAATACTCCCATCTACTCCCATTTTCCAGCATTTGGCCCATATCCCTCTAAACCCTTCCTATTCATATACCCATCCAGATGCTTTTTAAACGTAGTAATTGTACCAGCATCTACCACTTCCTCTGGCAGCTCGTTCCATACATGCACAGCCCTCTGCGTGGAAAAAGTTGTCCTTTATGTCCCTTTTAAATCTTTCCCCTCTCATCTTAAACCTATGCCGTCTTGTTTTGGACTCCCTCACCCCAGGAAAAAGACCTTGTCTATTTACCCTATCTATGCCCCTCATGATTTTATAAACCTCTAAAGTCACCCTTCAGCTTCTGATGCTCCAAGGAAAATAGCCCCAGCCTATTCAGCCTCTCCCTATAGCTCAAACCCTCCAACCTTAGCAACATTCTTGTGATTCTTTTCTGAACCTTTTCAAGTTTCACAACATCCTTCCTATAGCAGGAAGACCAGAACTGCACGCAGTATTCCAATAGTGGCCTAGCAAATGTCCTGTACAACCACAACATGAGTCCTATACACAATGCACTGACCAATAATGACAAGCATACTAAATGCTGCCTTCAGTATCCTATCCACCTGCAACTCCACTTCAAGTAAATATGAACCTGCACTCCAAGGTCTCTTTGTTCTGCAACACTCCCTAGGACAGTACCATTAAGTGTATAAGTCCTGTCCTAGTTTGCTTTTCCAGAATGCAGCTCCTCTCATTTATCCAAATTAAACGTTATCTGCCACTTCTGAGCCCATTGGCCCATCTGATCAAGGTCCCGTTGTACTCAGATAACATTCTTCGCTGTCCACTACACCTCCAATTTTGGTCTTGTCTGCAAACTTACTAATCATATCTCCTATGTTCGCATCCAAATCATTTATATAAATGACAAAAAGCAGTGGACCCAGCACTGACACTTGTGGCACACTGCTGGTCACAGGCCTCCAAGGTGAAAAGCAGCCCTTCACCACCACCCTCTGTCTTCTTCCTTCAAGCCAGTTATGTATCCAA